AAGAAAAGAAAAGAAAAGAAAAAGAAAAGACAAGAAATCAGTAATTAATTACATAATGTACTACTAAAAAATGTGTGTTTTATTATCTTACTTTCTTTCTTTCTTTCTTTTTTTCTTTCTTTCTTTTTAATTTTTATTTTAGAACTACTATAATAATCACCGATTCGTATTACATGTAATACGTCCACCAATTTATTATCGTCGTATCGATTTAACAATAGAAAAAAGATATCTAATATGTTAATAATAATTGTAATGGTATATGTAATCTAAGTAAAATAATGCAAAACAAAAAACAAATGCATTTTTAGATATTTATTTTTTTCTATTCATTCTCTCTCTCTCTTTCTTTCTTTCTCTCTCGCTCGTTTTTTATTCTTTTCTTTTTTTTAATAGAATCTTATATATTCTTGTAGTTCTTAGTGTGTTTCCTTTTTTTTAATTGTTTATATATATATATATATTTTTTTTTTGTAAATTATTTTTCTACTTTTATACAAAACCATCTAAAAATCAAATTAAAATCAAACGTAATATCTATTAGTGCGAGCCAAAAAGGATAAATGTGTATAATTAAATAATCCATATATTATGTATAATTTCATTTAAATATCATTTCAAGGGTGGAAACAAACAAATCGTCGGGAAGCTCGTTTCTCACGCGATTTAATCCTTTTCTTTTTAAATTTTTTTTAGATTTTTTCCTATTATATTATTATTCTTATACCCTACTACTACTATTACTACTACTACAACTGCTACTTCTCATCATTTGTTTCTCTTTTCGATTCTGCGTTCCTCCTTTTTCATTCATTAATTTATTGGTTGCGTGTGTATAATGTAAAAAAGAAAAAAAAAAAAAAAACAAGAAAAAAAAAACACTTTTTAGAAAAGTTATTACAAATAAACGCCCTATTTTCTCTCTCTCTCTCTCTCTTTCTTTTTTTATTTCCTTCCCATATTTCTTTTATCTTATTTATCGCAAAACGAATACGCATTTATATTATTTAAATAATCACAGAATATACGCAAGGATAGCCTCGCAGCAGTGTATGTATGTATGTATGTATGTATGTATGTATGTATGTATGTATGTATGTATGTATGTATGTATGTATGTATATATATATATATATTATAAAAAGCTAAATCTTGGCTCGTTTCACTAAATTATTATTATTATTATTATTGTTGTTGTTGTTGTTTTTATTCATTTATTTTTCGCAACGAGCATTTTTTATTTCAATTATCTTCTCTCTCTCTCTCTCTCTCTCTCTCTCTCTCTGTTTCTAATTCCTTCTTTCTAATTATAAATCAATCCGAAGATATACAATTTATATTTATATATAAATATATTAATATAAAACAAAACAAAAAAGTTATTTTCAAAAGAAAAAAGAAAATTAAACAAAAAGAAACACGTTATCTTGCACCCCTCTCCTCCCCACACACACTACTCTTATAAGAATACTGTTCGTGTTATATTAACATATTGTAACAATGTAGGTCTCCCATTATTACACGCATACACAATTACTATACTTTGCATCTAAGTAATGCCTATTTTCCAAAAATGTGTACGAAATAAACGCCGATTATATTGATCATATATATGTATGTATGTGTGTGTGTGTGTGTGTATGTATGGTTTTTTTTTTTTTTATATATATATATATTTTTAAGTGCACATGCATATGTCGTAGATCGCAAAAATCAATGAAATAATGATCGTCGCTAAAACGTCAAGGACATTAACGACGTTTCTATTTTTTAAAAAAAAAAACGATAATGAAAGCCGCTCAATATAAATTATTTTACTTTGACATTTGTTTGTTTTATTTTTTTTTAATTTTTTTTTCTTTTCCCTTTCCGTTTTCCGTAGATATTTTTAGTCAAAAGAAAAAAGAAAAAAGAATTATTCTTCTCTCGCGCACGAGTTCGCCAAATAATGCGTGAGTGAGTGAGTACGTGTGTGTTTGTGTGTGTGGTTTTTTTATTTCTTTATATTTTTTTTCCACGCGCGACGTCTTTTGACTTCTTTTCTTCTTCTACTTTTTTTTATTTTTTTTTTCTAATTTATATTCGTTTCTTACAAATTTGTTTGTACTGTCGATTTTGTATCCAAGCACGTTTCGCAACGGGACACGAGTCTTTTTCTTTTTTTCTTTTTTTTCTTTTCTTTTTTTAAGCTACACAATTCATGTTACGTATACTTCATTTATTTATTTATTTATTTATTTATTTATAAATTATATATTCGTACGAGCACGTGTTTGAATTCAAAAGAAAAAAAGAAAATAACAAAATAGAAGAAAACAAACA